TGGAACGGGCCGTTCCAAAATACTAAAAGTGCCTACAAATCTTAGATGGGAACGGGACGTTCCCAAATTGGAACGGGGCGTTCCAAACCAGCAAAAATACCTATAACCCTAGTTGGGAAATGGCCATTCCAAATATGGCCAAGGTCACGTTATCCCTATACCAGGGCCGTGCTCACCCCTGACATGTTAACCAAGGTCACGATACCCACGTAACAATCCTGAGCCGTGCTCACCCCTGATATAACATTGTACCAAGGTCACGTTACCCCTGACCTAGGGTCGTGCTCACCCCTTACATGTTAACCAAGGTCACGATACTCACGTAACAATCTCGGGCCATGCTCACCCCTGGTCATAGGTGTGAAGAACCACAATCACATCTCATTCACATTCCACAATCACCCCTAGTTATTGGCATATTTATAACCCTCATCACATACAGAATCTAATGGGATCATCCATTCCACAATCAGAAATCATCCAACTTTTCACAACCTAACTTACAGGCACTTTTCTATAATTTCGTTTTCTCTCCCAGAGCATCATTTTTACCAATTAATCAAATATCCATGTTCCTAAATACATACATAATCAAATAAGACCAATAATTCTTCAAACATAAATAATTATAAAATTAGGGTTCTTCCTCTACCCAATTTCTTCATGTAACTTTACATATAAATAATTCCCTTTTCCCCCGTACCTGGATAAGAAGAAGCTGAATCTAGATATGTAGAAGTTGAATCTACACTAGATCTGGTTGATCTCCCTCGCTGGGTTCCCCTCGGTCTGAAGCAGAAAGTAGAGGAAAGAAGAGAGAGAGCAGAAGAAAAGAAATCAGAAATGAGAGGTGTGCTTTTTGGGAGTGGCAAACAGCTCTATATATAGGCATTATGTGCCGGAACGGCCCGTTCTGGACCCTTAAACCATGGCTAAAAATCACATCTAGAACGGCCCGTTCCAAAACCAGAACGGCCCATTCTAGTGTGCATTAATTACACCCAACGGCCATAATTTTGGGAACGCCCCGTTCCAAGCCCGTTCCCATTTAGGGTTAATGGCATATTTAATAGTCCGGAACGGCCCGTTCCATCTTGAGAACGGCCCGTTCTGGGCTATTAACTCACATTCAATTTGGTAGTTTGGAACGGCCCGTTCCAATTCCGGAACAGCCCGTTCCAAGCTACTAAATCACCCCTATCTCCTTTATAAAATTACCAAAATACCCTCAATTAAAATAAATAAATAAAAAGTGAAATAAAAACTGGGGTGTTACACTCTTGATTATTCTATTATTGTTTCTCTTATCAGCAACTTCAGACATGATAACATGTTTAACGACTTATTTTGGTTTCTTAGATTTCGCTACTTACACCAGAAAAGTCCAATACTACTATCAAGAATAAAACATCTTAGGTATAAGTCTATTATGACATTAGCATGTATTAATTAAACCTATATGGAATTAGTGGGACACCTATCCTCCAAATACTACACACTTTTCCAATGCTTAATTAGGGATTTTGACCCCTAGAGTCATTCCTTACTCGTTGGCCAATTATGAAATGTATAGCTCTATATGTCCATCATATTGTTTCAACTTAAAATATCTAGAGAATACAACTTTTAAAGTAACTCCCTACTTAAAGGGAAACTTCCACACTAAGGGGTTTCAACGCTATACTCACCGAGCACCACAACTTATATCCATATAATGAGATATTTTAATTTTTAAAATAACTTTTTCTCTCTTCTAGTTTATATGCAACTTTTAACTTAAAAACATGTAACACATGCTTACATTGCATCTGAAACAACATTCAACATGCATATTCAATCTTAGGACAACATACTTCTTTCAACTTAAAACAACATACTTCTCAACTTTATTAAACTCATCCAACTTAGTCATACACTATCATCATATGATACAAAAGAATCAACCTACAATGGATAAGGTTTTTTATCAAAAATATTTATCAACATAACTTGTAAAGATACATAAATATAGCAAGTTCATAAAATAAGGGTTTCATTGGGCAAGGAGTGGTCTCGTTGGGCAATCAAAACTCTTTGGAGCTCATTGTTGGGTAGGCTACTCTCACTTAACAAGAAAAACTCTTAGTGGCTTTCCTCATCGAACGAGCTCTAACTTGTTGGGAGATCAAAATTTTCTAGAGCTCATCATTAGGTGGCCACAACTCATTGGACAAGCTTAAATCCTTGTGGGTCCTCTTGTCAAGTGATCTAGGCGAACAGAATTCCTTGTGGGTTATCTTGTTGGACACGTTATGCCTTAGTATGCAAGCTCTTGCGAGAGTCACCCTAGATTCATTTTCTCACTAAGCAATAATCATACCGCTAAGCAATAATATAAATTTGGATAAAGGATTAGTAACTATGAATATACAACGAACAAGCATGCATTCTCGATGGGCAAGAATATGAAATTTCTCCATGGAAGTTCATTTCCTCTCAACAAATCCAGCCACCATACTTCAAATCTACCACATGCAATCCATCAAAAGGCATTTAAACAACTTAAACAATATGAATTCAACATAAAACTTCACATGCAAGACCAATTCATTGTAATCTCAACTTCTTTAGGTCTCAATTTTCCTTTCTCTTAAAACTCCAACTTCGCAACTTAGATAAACATCAACAATTCTCACCAACTAAGCCACCAATGGGATTAAACAACAACAATAACAACTTAAAATTAACTTAAAGAATCAAACAAAAAACTTTCCTTACCTCGATTGCTTCTCAAAGCAAAGAAGAAAATGAAGAAAAAACATAACTCAGCAATCCCTTATCAATCAACTTCTCTTTAAGATTCCAAACTCTTTGTTAGAATCCAAGCTTCTACCACTTGATCTTAGCTCCAGGGGAGGATCTAGATGCTTTTGGTGAAGTTAAAAGAAGAAGTGGTCTCCCTTGGCTCCAAAGCTTATCTTTATAAAACTTCTCTATAGAATTCAGAGAAATTAACTTATGAAAATCAAGTTCTCTAAAAATCTTATATACATTTTCCCGTTCTTAGTCAACTTTGCCATCAACTAAACTAACTCCAAACAACTCAGCTTCTAAGGAGTCCATATCCCTTTGAGTTTTAACAACCACAAAACAACAATATAACAACATATACACCACAAATCATATTACATATCATCATGCAATGAAAGCATAAAATACACAATGTTTCAAAGAAAACATAAACTTTAAGTCCTAAGGCTCTGATGTTATAATAATTAGAGCAAACCCATCATATTAGAAAACTGAAGCCTAAGTTTCACCTCCCTTAGGCTCAAACTCATCTACATGATCAACTTTTGCCCAAACAAGTAAACAACACAACAAGCAATGAGTGGGAATATATCTCACACATGCTTAAGCATATATAGGTAATATAGTTAGTACATGAAACACTACAATCGTATCTCATGTTAATTCATCATATTCATATCTCAATCTCAATAATCCATTCAATACATTAATCTCAAATCACACACTTTCACAACTCAAAGGCTCATGCTCTTAATTCTAAATGTATGTGGTACAAATCTCAAAAATGCACGAGGCGCTCAAAGTCAAAGTAGTCTAGGAGCACATAGACAAAACACAAGGCCACCACACAATAGGCACCCATCTCAACACGATTCACTATCACTAGAAGGAATTCTATTAGGAGCCAATTGAAGTATCATAGTTGCACATGGTTGTCTCCCATCCAATGTTAGAGGTTGTCCACTATAACACCACAAGGCCAATGTAGAAGACCATAGAGACCTTTCTACATAGAAACACAACTATTTACAAATAAACTATGCATGTATGCATGAATTCCAAACACATCACATCAAACACAAACAAATGTAAATTCATAATGTTATCTTATCTCCATCATATTGTTAGACCTTTGTATTTAGACTTCTCAAATGACCAAGTTCGGCTTGTATTTTCTCACTACCAAGCCTCTACTTGGACTTCCTCATATCAACATCATTCCAAAATATGTCAAATGTCTTAAATGTTGCATGCAAGGTTCTCAAGTCAAACAACAACACCTTTTATCACATACATCTCATAATGTTCTCTTATCACACCTCATCACACATAATACGCATATGCATTTCATATCACACATAAATATCATATGTCATGAAGTTCTCATCATATCACTCATGAACATCACAACTTATGTTAGCACATGGCACAACATAATACCTCATCACGCATAAAGTTCTCATCAAAATACTTATAACATTTCATATCACATCTAAGGTTTTCTCATCATACCTAAATGTCTCTTTTTGTAAGTCTCAAATTCACAACATTTCACAAGTTCTCTCATCAATTCACATATAAGTATCTCATTTCACATTTATCTCATACATCCCAAACTCAACGTCATCCTATAATTTCTCATCTCTTTATTAATTATTATTCTCACATCTTTTCTCTAAATATTTCTCACAAACCTACACTCTATCTTTATTTTATTTAATAAAAACATCCACAACTTATATTATAAACTTTATTAATAAAATAATTAAGTCCATAATATAAAAATTATTAAAATAATTTTTTTTTATTTTTAAAAATTAAGATGTTATATTTGGGATACATTTCAAGTTATGCATGAGGGTACGACTGTTGTAAAATGTTATAGAAAGCATACATTTGTGCAAGAATATTAATGTTTAAAATGAAAAATGGTGAAACCATTTTGGAATGCCAAAAATGTTTTATGCACATTGTTAATCATTTGATTATTTTAGGAAGCAAATTGAAGAAAAAAACCTAATTATAAAAGATCTCACACTAAAAAAAAAGTAGGTAATTAGTAGGGTTTTTTTTAGCGATTTTAAAAAATTGTCACAAAATATTATAAATCTAGCAGTTATTTTAACTGCTAAAAAGAATTATATTTTTGGAGTTTAAAATCGCCATAATCTTTAAATACCTTTTCTAATTTGGCCTGTCACACTTGACCAACTTAATTAATTTCTTTTATTTTTAAAAGAATAAAGATCAAAAACTAAAAACTTATTCTGAGCACCCACGCTTTTCTTTCTCTCCAAACTTCTTTCAAAATTCTTCATTGTCATAGTTCAATCCTCTTCCACTTCTCGCTTTTAGAGTTTTCAATTTCTTCGATGGCACCCGATCCTAATCGCTCTGGTATGAGCACTGCCAAAGACGATGTCGTTACGAAGAAGAAGGTCGAGAACGAAGATATGGTGAATCCAAAAGCCTCCCTTCAAAATTTTCTCGTTCTAGACTGCAAATTTCTACTCTACTTTCTCTTGCAACAAAATGAAAATCGATTATGGTAATTTGTGCAGTTTGATCAGGATTTGGCATTGAAGCAGCGGCTAGAGTTGTACGTGGAGAGGGTTTAGGATCCCAACTAAGGATTGCAGAGGTTGCGTTGGAGAGCATGAGGTAAACCTAGTTGTATTGGAACCGACGACCAAGGATTTGGCCATGCAATTAATGGTTTCCCTTTTGGGCTCAATAGTAGCTAATTTTGTAGGTTGGTCTTGATAATAGCTTATTTTGTATGCTTAATTAAGGGTTTCAGTATTTGAATCTTACATCTGTGTTATTTAACTGTGTGAGATATTTTTGGCTAGTCAAGAATAGACTGTTCTATAAGTTAATTAAGCCTAGAAAATATAGTTTTGCATAATTAGGTGTCCAAGTAATTATAGATAGTTGAAATGCCAATCAAAAGTAATCAATTAAAGCCATTTAAGGGGTTTATTAGTTATTTCTTTTAATAGTTTCTACACAATTCTGAATAGTGTTCCATGAAGTACATTTAGCCATTTTGGAAATATACTTTTATGTTTTGTTCCTTTTTCTATCCTAGTAAATATATTAAATTGACATATTAAATTGTTCTAAATAGCTAGTTGAACCAGCATAGAGTACTGATTTGTACATAGTTGATAAGATTAGGAATTTAATTTGGAATTTTCTTTTTAGGACATGGGTTATCTGTAGAAGGAGATTAAAATTAATTGATAAATTTCTCGAAGAAGGTTTGCCATAAATTCGAAAGTTAGATACAAATGTTTGAATATTTACATTGTGGTGATTGTGAAGAAAAATAAGGTATTAATTTGAAATAAATAAATGATTCTTTTTTTTGGACATATGTAGGATTTCACTTTCTTTTTATTTCTATGGATATCTTTTTATTTTCTTATAGTTTCTTAATAGAGATGCAAGAAATGAGCAAAGATTGGTTCTTTGTTCTTTTCCTCTGTTAATTTTCATTCAATGAAGAGAAGAAAAGTTATATAAAAAGAATTGTGCATAATCTAAAAAAACAATGTTAGCTCTACCTCTACCATCATGAAAAGAAAATAAACAGGGAAATGGTACCATAATCATTGTGCTATGAGTTGAATACTCCATCTAGAATCTATATAATTAACCTTAAATCTGCTCAACATTCTGGGTACACCTAACTACAATTTATTGATGATTTACTTCTCAATAATTAATTCTATTTTTGTGATACATATATTTTTGTTAAAAGTTCTAGGGATGACAATAATGTCAACATAGTAAGATCCACAAACTCTTCTCCGACAACACTATCAAATTATGGATATTCTAAAAGAGAGCATGTGAAGATAGAAGAAGACGAAAAAGTTGGAATTCCAAGGGAAGGTGATCTAGGAGCATCACTAGAGGATGAAGAGGTGGTTGCTGTGCAAGAGCAAGTAAGGTAGATAAAGGCACAGGAAGAGGAATTTGAAACCTTCAATCTAAAGATTGTGCACAGGAAAAACAGACATGTTTTTAATGTGTGTAACAATGTGTTTATATGCTGATCTGTGCTATGTAATCCTAATCATGGTACTTACAAGTATTGTATTACTTCAATTTACAGATGACTTGAAATTATTTTATGTTTTTTTTTAAACTATACTTCGATATACACTTTGTGTATCCTTCAATTTTGTTTCAAGTTTTTATATGAGAAACAACTTCTTTTAGCTTAACTTTCTTTCTTCTCTATACTTACAAATTCATAATATGTTAATTATAAATCTGTTGTTGCATATCATAACTGTCATTTTTCTTAGCCTATGGGCACTTGGTTAAAAAGCCATATTATAAACATTTCATGAAACTTTTGGTTTTGTTATCAACTGAAACTAGGATAAAACTCAGGATGGAAGCTGATCTACTATTTCCCTTTCAATTTGTATAACCCCCACTACTTTCATAAGGCTACATTCAAAACTAAGTGAACAATGTATGTTTACAGTTCATCATAAATAAAAATGCGTTATTTGTCATAACAATGTTGTGAACATAGTGTGTGTCTTCATCTAGTTGCCATGGAATTTGCAGTGTTCATATGTTTGTCTACAACAATTCAGATTTAGATATTTTTTTTCTTAATTTAAATTGATGATATTTGTTAGTTATTATTGAGAGTAATCTTGTGCTATAGACTAGTTGATCGTTGTGAGTTCTTAAAGCTGGTTGAATACTTAATTTTTACTCATATTTCAATAAATAAGTATTTGAGAAAATTTAACATGCATTTCTCTATAAAGAAACCTCTTTCAAAGATATTGTTGAAATGATGGGGTTCTTTTTCAACATGTGAAATATATGTGCTAATGATTGCATTACTTTTTAATCATTTAATTTTTACCTTTTATAAAGGGATCTTAATGAGCCTGTCATGATATTTTGTTATGTTAAAGTATGATTTCTTAATTGTTCTATGTTCTCCCTTTTTTTTAATCTTGATAGTCTTTCTTAAATTAAGTTTTGTTAATCAAAATTGGCTTTGAGGAGGACAATTTTCCATGTTGTTTTAAATTTTGTACCAGCTGGAAGGTATCATGTTACTGAGTATCTAGGATCTACTGCATTTAGCAAAGCTATACAAGCTCATGACCTACATACATACATGGATGTTTGTGTTAAAATTATAAAGAACAACAGGAACTTTTTTTTTACCAAAGTCTTGATGAGATCAAGCTTCTCAAGTATGTCAATAAGCATGATCCTGTAGATAAATTTCACATTCTTTGATTATATGATTATTTCTATTATCAAGTAAGTGGATTTGCCATTGATTCTGTGAATACTATTACAATATGCTTTCTGTAACACCCCAATTTCTTTAAAAGGATATTTTTATTAGTTAACCTATTTGAGCTCGAAAAGTTTTAGACTTATCTCACTTGATATATATTTTTTTTGGCAGATGATAAACACACCTTCACTCTCGTATAAACACACCCCCTTTTTAAAAAAAATATATAAAATGTCTAAATTACCCTTAAAAAAAATAAAATTCCTAAACTTACACTTCCCTTCCCCGTACCTCCGTTCCCCGCACCCCACCCCCCTTCCCCGCACCCCCCACACCCCACACTCCCTTTCACTACAAAAAAATGTGTGATTTGTGGCGGTTA